AGGTCAGSCGAGTTCAGCTCCTCAGCAGGCACCACGGAGCGATTCATCCCGAATTTCACAGCCTCAAACACACCCAGGGCTTGGACTCATTAACGGCGAGATGAACAGGAGGCGACCAGGCTGGAAAAAGAGGAGGAGGAGTGGAAAGTCTGGTCCTTTTCTAAAGCTATTTCCTCTCTTAAACAGAGCGTTGTGACTGTGAGACATCCAAACAGGCGAAAAAAAACAAACCCCACCTTGTGCTGGCTGCTCTTTGCACGGCTGGGGYTGGTCCTGGTGCCACCTCATGGCAAAAAATCAGATTTGAATTTCCAGGGGAGTAGATGGGATGGAGGAGAATTGGCCTGCAAAACCCCAAACAGGTGCTCAGCCCCAAGGAAGGCGGGAGTTTGTATTTCTGTGTGTTGTGTTTTGTATTTCTGGGAGGAAAATTGAACTCTTGAAAGAGTTTTATGTTGTTGTGCCATTAGGGAGGTACCTGTTGAATATTTCCATCGTGTCACCAGCCAGCCTGGGCTCTAATAAGAACATTAATTATCAGTTCTACCTGAAAACTCACAGCATTCCCTACCAGTGCTGATGTTCTGCCCATCACCTCCTTCTACAAACGCGGCTTTGGGATGGCCTTTGCTCAAAACTGCGTTTTCATAAAGTTTTTTTGGGGATTTTTTATTTTTTTGCTGCCACTCTGCAGCTCTAGGGCAGGGTGGGAATGGGTGTGAGCAGCCCTGGGTAATGCACTGAGCTCCTTGTTCGAATTAAAGACCACACAGAGCTCCGAGTCTGGGACACCAGATGTGAGAGCTCCTCTGTGGRTAAACGGGGAGTTTCATTTTCCAAACCTCTCAGCCCAAAACGCCTCATTTGGGGCTGAATCCTCAAAGTTTTGAAGCTGAATTTGGGAGAGATCCTTCCCAGGCAAGCAGTTGTGAGATTGGAAATCAGGGTTGTGCTTTGGGATYGCTCTCGGACACAGAATAATTGATAAAAATTGAGTTAATGGTGGAGATGCAACTGTTTTATGAATTTGTGAGGGGTGAAGGCTGACACCAAAGTTGTGGAAGAAATTTGTGTATTTTATTTGTATTATATGTGTATTTTATGTGTATTTTATATGTATTTTATGTGTATTTTATGTGTATCTTATGTGTATTTTATGTGGGTGTGCTCTTCAAAACCAGAAATCATTCCCGAGAGCAGCTGCCCGGCCTAATTATTTACACAACAGCTCAGGAAATTCTAATTCCTCATTTTAGCCCGTTCCCCTTTGCTGGCCATGGGGTGTAACTGGTTATCAATAACACCCAGGGCCGTTCTGATCCTCCCAATATTTTCAAACCACACAACAACGACCTTTTGGTGCTTTTGGCTGAATGCTGGTGACGGTTTCAGAGCCTATAAACGATTTTTTTTTACATCACCTGTATTTCTCAAACCATTTTTTTTTCCTTTAAAAGCTCACAAACGCATCCTCCATCCTATAAACAACAWCCAGCTGGGCTCAAGATGCATTTAGGCATGAAAACACTTCCATAAACCGCTGTTCCTTAAAGAAATGTGGCCCCCTGCCAGCTCAGTGTTCCTTTGGCTGGGCAGACGTGACCCTGGCTGGTTGCTGGAGGGGTTTTTGGGGTTGGCATCGTCCCCCCGAGCTCGTGTGACCCCTCCTGCAGCTCCCACMAGATGATCTGGCCCATTCCCACTCAGGATTTGGCTCCCTGAAGTTGGCACGTGGCCGCTGGAATTTTCCAGTTGGCCATCCCAAGCTGATTTCTGTGTTTCTGTTGTTGCTGGGGAGGGGCGAACAGGTCCGTGCAAGCTCCCAGATCACCTGGARAGCAACTGGGAACTCAGATTTCCTGCTCAGCAGTTGCTGATGGAAGAACTCGGCACCAGGATGAGTTTGAGCCGGGTTCTGGTGTGAGGCAAATGTGTTTGCATCTGATCCAGGTCCAGGGTTGGATAATTTGGGGTAAACCATGGAAAATGGATGATRTGGGAGTTCACTGCTCCCAGCTGCTTTTATTTCTGCTTTTTATTTATTGTCTGCAGTGCTTTTGGTGCTTTAGGGATCCCCCTTCATGCGCCTCTGGAAGGGCAGGCAGTGTCTGGGATCCAGGAGTTTGGGATTTTCAGTGTCTGCTGATCCCACAAACTGTGGGATTATTCCTCAACAGGGCCACAAATCTGGGATGAGGAGACCCAGGATCCTGGCGTTTGGGGCTGAAATGAGATCCCACACCTGGCAGTGCCTCCCAAGGGTGAGGAGGCATCCAGGGAAATCCTGGCTGGAGTGATTCCTTTGGGATTATCRGGAATCACAGGATTMTGGAACAATTTGGGTTGGGAGGGACCTTAAAGATCATCAAGTTCCAACCCCATGGGGCAGGAGAAGAGGATTTACCACCCACAGGCCCCACAGGTCCTTTAACCCTCCTGATTCCTCCAGATTTTTGGGATCTTTCACCATCTGAACCCATGGAGGGGAGAGAGAAAGGATCTCCACCATGGAACCTCTCTGCTCTGCGGGGAATGCCCAGCTGTGGTGTTGGGATATTTTGGGGCAGCAGAGGAAGATGGATGGGGTCAGTGCTGTCCTCCATCCCATCCCAAGGTGGCTGCAGGGCTCTGCAGGCTGTGATCCCTCTGCCAGCCTCCATTCTSCTGGGTGCCCACGCAGGCAGGGCTGGAAGGGGTTTGGATCAGCGGGATTTGCCCGGGAGCGGCGCTGGCACCGTCCCCAGGCTGCCATGGCACGTGCTGGGCTCCCGCGGGGGCTCGCAGCCAATCTGCCTCTCACCTCCGCCTGCTGAAAGGCGCTTTCAGCGGGGAACCTCTTCCTGTGTGTGGCTCAGCCTCCAGCTTTTCCAGTTTCGYGGGAGGCTGGAGCAGGGGGAGGTATCTCAGCGGGTTCAGAGGCATTTCCTGCTGCTCTTCCCCACTGAATCCTGACAGAATATCACCAAACTCCAGCCTGGATGGATTGGGAGCACCTCATCCCCATGATCTGGGGTTTGGCCTCCTGTTCTTTTAGGGTTTGCTGTGTTTGATGTTGATTAYCCATCTGATGCCTTATCAATCAGGMTRATCTGAAAYAGAGGBCAGAYAAABTTAASAGAATGAGAAWAGACAACTTTAATCCAGGCCTAACAGTCCTGCTGGTACATTAGGGCAGAAAAAGCCTCCTCCTACACCCAAAATAGACACTGAGTCACGAGATCTTCACCTTTTATAAGTTCTGCCTTATTAACATATTGGGTATTAATTCTCCAGTGATCTTTACAGGTGATGATGTCAACCACCCCAAAATTGCTCCCCTCAATTCTCCATTGTTTCCATATTTTGGGGCTCTGAGGCAGTGAGGTGTCCTTGGATTCAGGCTCAGAGAGGAATTGTTTTGTCTAAAAATGAGAGAACGGTGGTTTTAGTGCTGTACTAGAGAAATGCAAGAATACAGACTCATGAAAATATAGAAACTAAAAATCCTAAGGCATCACATCCAAGGAACTCCCATTCCATCTGGACAAAGATTTATGGCCAAAGCTCATCCTGGTGCCGTGTTCTTCCATCAGACAGCCAAAATCAGGGGCAGGATGTGACCCCAAACTCTTTCACTGCCCTCCTTGGATGGGATGGAATGTCTGGTGACCATCCAGGTCCTYGAGAGCTGGGTGACCAAACCCACAGACAAAGAAATGGGAGCCCAGGGAGGCAGAGGGTGGGAATTCAGGCCATGGCTGTGGTTTTTTGGTTTTTTTTTTTTCCCCTGTGTATGATGAGGGCCTTGAGGCTGTGCAGTGCAGGGAGAGGGCTGGGATGCTCTGGGGTGGCCCAGGGTGTGGTGCAGAGGTGAAATTGCTGCTCTGTGAAAAAAAAACAGCCCTAAAGGAGCTGGGATTGTCACCTGTCTGGGACATCATTGATGCCAGTAAGGATGGCAGTGGCAAAGCGARTATTGGCACCAGCAAGGGTTGTGAGAGCATTTATTTGTGGAAAAAGGCTGGATTTGGTTGTTCTTCCTTCTCTTCTAAATACTCAGGTTTTGCTTTTGCTGAGGGCTCTGCACATTGTGGGCCATCCAGTGTGACCTGTCCTCTCTCCTGGGATTTCAGGGGTGAGGATGGTGCAGGAAAGGAGTGGCTGTGGRGGAGTTTGGGKTTTTTTTCTGTAGAATCAGAGGAAGGGACCTTAGAGATGACCCTGTTCCAGCCCCAAACTGCTGCCACACAATGCCAGGACATTTAGGGTTGGTGTTTCACCAATGGGGTTTATCAGCTGTCAGAGGGACAGTGACAGGGCCGGACTCAGGAACAGTCAGGGGTGCAGCAGATCCCCATCCCCTCCCAGCCCCATTCCTTCCCTGTCCAGGTGGGGTTTGCACCCTGACCCCAACCACCCTGAGAAGGGAAGAACCATCCCCTTCCCCTTTTCTTCTGCAATTTCACCCTTTGTGTGCACTTTTTTTGCCAGATCCTTGCGTTTTCCACACCTCCTCAAAGCCCCATCTCACAGAATCACAGAACATCCTGAGCTGGAAGGAACCCACAAGGACTGAGTCAGGATTGGACTGTGTCTCTGCACAGGACACCCCCAAAATCCCACCCTGTGTGGGATTCACTGATCTTTGGGGCCATACCCATTCCCCGGGGATCCTGCTCAGTTCCCGACCACCTTCTGGGTGTAAAAACTTGTCCCGAAATCCCGATGTCACCGCCCCRGCCACCCCCTGGGTCACCGGGCAGCGGAGGGGACATCGCATGGGGAAAACACCCGCAGGGGGAAAACTCAGGGAAGAGCGAGGAGAGGCGGAAAAACTCCCTCTGCCGCTATTCCAGCGAGGAAAAAGGGGAGGAAAAGCGCTTTTGGGGGCCGGGACATCCCGTTGGAAGTGGCCGCGGGGGCGGGGGCTGGGCCGGCTCGGGGGGGCCGCTCCGCCCGGCCCTGATTTGCTGCTCGGCTCCGAGATTGACAAACTCCTGCCTTGGGTTTAAAAGAAGGGGGAAAAAAGGGCGGTGTGGGGAGAGAAGGGAAACTTTTCCGGGCAGCCCGGGAGCAGGCAGGGCCGGAGCTGAGCGCGGCGGAGCCCCCGCACCCTCCGCCCGCCCCATGGCTTTATAAAGGGCCGCTCCCCGGGGGGGGCTGCCGGGGGGGGTGCTGAGCGCCTGCTCTGCGCTTGGAGGTTTATTTTTTCCACCCTCGAGCTGTGGCGGGCCGGTGCCCCGTTTTTTTGGGGAGCATGGATACGCACACGCGCTGGAAAAGGCGCAGTTGGATACGGAGCTGCTCGGTGCCCGCTGCGCTGGTGCTGCTGGGTGCCCTGTCCCTCGGCCGGGCAGGTAAGGGGGGTCCCCGAGCCCCCCAAAGATGCTGCGGGGTGGTGGGTGGGGTGAGGGAGCGGTTTTTGGGGGGTTTTTGTGCGGGGGCAAAACTCTGGGGTTTCCTTCCTCCGTGCATTCCAGCAAAAAAAAAAAAAAAAAAAAAAAAACCAACCAGAAGGAAAAACCACCCAACAAAACCCACCCAACCTCCTTTAGCTGCCCGAGTCTCTGAATGCCATTTGTCAGGGGGCCCGTAAAAGGGGAAAAAACTTAAAACAATTCTTTATTCGCCTTTCTTGGAGCGAGAGCTGCCTCTTGCCGGGCTGCTTTTTCCGGAGGAAAAGTCGGGGATGAGTTGCTGGAGGCTCCGGTTCTTTATATATCGCTGTGGATATATATGTGAATATAAATTTAGTCAACTGGAAACCTCCGGGCTTGCGTAGTTCCTCCTCCTCGAGGAGAAGAAAGTTTTTTTTTTTGTCCCGCAGGAATCTGCTCTCCCTCAGCACATCAAAGCTCGGGACACAAAAGCTTTGGAGCTGCTCGGGACCCCAAAGCCCCCTTTGCCAACCCCAAATCCGCGGGGTTTCTCCCTAAAACTGGGGCTGTTGAGCGTGGCAGGAGGAAGCTCTGAAGTTCCAGATGTGCAGCAGCACAGAAAACCACTGGAATGTCTTTTTTTTTTTTTTTTTTTCCCCTCCATAATCTTGCAGAAAAAGGACTAAACACGCTTCTGCTTCCCTTTGGGGCTGTGCAAAGCTCTGCTTCCCAAATGTCCGCCTTCCCCGGGTGGGCTGGGAAATGCCACGGCGCAGGGAGGGCTTGAAAAAGTTTTCCTGGGTGTTTGCAGAGCTTTTTTTTCTCCCCGGTTTGTAGTGGACACTTGGAGGCATCGGCGCTCCGAGCTCTGTTTGTGTTGGAACGGCTGCGGAGAGCGGGGTTTGTTGGCAGAGCCGAGCTTTTGAAAGCTGAAAAAATTAAACCCGAGTTCTTCGGGGTAACTTGAGAAGCCGAGAAGTGCCCTGAAGAGCTGCGCTGTCTGGGACTCAGATTGCTGCCCGAATTCTGYGTTGCCGGGGTGTTTTTTCCCGGCAGTGGGGAGTGTGGGGTGGGTTTGAGGTTCCCGGGACAAACCCCATGGGGTTCTGCGCTCAGAACAGCGGGATCGCGGGTTTTTGGCGGTTCTGGGTTCGCAAAATGACCTTAAAGAAGGAGAGGTGGGCGTTGGAGGAATGCTCGCACTGGGGCTTTGGAGGCTGATGGAAAAGCGGCTGCTGCTAGATGAGAAAATATCCTGAACTTTTCCTGCAGGGAAAGCTCAGGGCTGTGGGGGATCCCAGTTTGTCCTGCAGAGGATCTGGAGCCGATTTCCAGCCGGCAGGGCGCTGGAATGACACCGGCTCCTCCAGAGCTGCCTGCTCAGGCCGCTTGCTCGGGTGTTTTGWAGCAGCTGAAAATTGAATTTTCACCGGGCTGCTCTGTTTTCAATGGGAAAAACAACAAATTTTCCCTTTCACTTTTGACCGTGCTGACGCTTTAACGCTTTCAGAGCATCCTKAGGCTTTTCCCTGTCCGTGTTTATCCTCCCAAACTCCTTCTGAAAGGAACAACTTTCAGAAGTAACTTTTTTTAAGGTTACCAGGTAACTTTTAAAAAAACTTTTAGGGCCAGAGGAATGGCTGGAAGCTTTTGTGGGGCCAGTGTGCAACTCTGAGGAAYGACTCTTGTGGTGAAAGGCTTTGAGTTTTCCTAATGAGCCGCCTAATAGGACATCAAATAATTTGGATGAGGGAGGAGTCAGAGCTGGGCTGGCTGCTGATGGCATTGACTAATGTTCTTCGTGGCTTTTATTTTTAATTTTTCCACGTTGCCTTTGGTTTTCTTTCGGCTCAGAGTGTGTTTTAGTGTCATTCCCGTTGGTTTCTCTGTGTGGAGAAGCAAATCTTGCCTGTAATCTGTGGGATGGCACCTGGCAGAGAGGATTTCCAGAAAAAAACCCCAAAAAAAAACGAGGAAATAACAAAGTCAAAGGCAACACGAGCTGAGCTGCCTCCCACCGCTGCCCGTGCAGCTCAGATTTTCCCATATTTGAGCAGATGATGTCACAGCAAAAGCGAACCCACAGACAAAGCTGGAACCCGTCTCTGCTTTTACRAATCCCAATGAAACCCAATCGGGTTTCTGGGCGAAACTTTTTGGATGCAGCAGTTTCCTTTAGTGGCAGGGTGTAATGAGGATCCGTGGCAWGGCCTTTCCAATAAAAATGCTGGAAATTGCACAGTGTCCTGTTACCAGCTGTTGCTTCTCCTAAACGAGCTAAAAAAAAAAAAAAAATCTTTATCCAGCCAGTTAAAGAAGTTTATTTTTTATTTTAATACTTTGCCAATCAAAAGTGTTGATATTGCTTTACAAGAAGAAAAATGACTTTATAAGTGTGGAATTGATGGCAGATCTGATTTCCCCCGTAAAACCTGGGTTATGCTGTCAATGGCTGGAATGGGAATTTGGAAATGAAAAGCACCCAGCTGTGGGTCAGGGGACAGCAGAGCCCTGTGCCTGAGCTCGTGGGGTGTTTTTTCAGGGGGCAGGAGGAAAATTCTGCCCTGGCCATTCCCTTGGGGCTGGGGTTTGCTCCTGGAATGGATCCCCCCAGGGTTGAGGCTCTGGGAGATGATTTCAGGCTCCTGGTGAGGAGCTGATGGTGTCARCTCCCTCCAAAGCTCGAATTTGGGAATGGGAAGAATCCAAATTGATCTCATTGAGGGTGGCTCTGAGACAAAACTGGGGAATTGCTGATTTTTGGGGTGTGCAGAGGGACGGCAATGAGGGGTCACCTCACGTACAAAACCTCTTTTTAATGGCAATTTTAATTAAAARAAGCTGTCTTGGTGTTGCTTCCAGTGCTTACAAACACAGTCCTGCCCTAGGAGAAATCAGGAGCAGAATGTGCAGCCTGGTTTTAAATGGGGGCTGTCCCTGCCCCTTTTGTGGTGCTGGAGAGGGATTTTYCCCATTTATTTCTTTTTGAAATAGGGCAAATCCAGCAGCAGCTTTGTGTCTCATGGTGACCTGGCCAGAGCAGGGGTTGTGCTGATTTCCCTCAGAGCTGGGGGTGAGCCAGGATCTGCTCTCACCCTCCTCCTGTGATTTTGGAGTGGGATTTACCCCTGATTGAGCTGGAGGTGCCCAGGGCAGCTCATTCAGGTTCCTGTCCCTGTCCCTGTGTGATTTTGGGGGTGGGATTTACACCTGATTGATCTGGGGGTACCCACGGCAGCTCATTTGGGTTCTTGTCCCTGTCCCTGTGTGATTTTGGGGTGGGTTTCACCCCTGATTGCCCTGGAGGTGCCCAGAGCAGCTCATTTGTGTTCCTGTCCCTGTCCCTGTGTGATTTTGGGGTGGGTTTCACCCCTGATTGCCCTGGAGGTGCCCAGGGCACTTCATTTGGGTTCCTGTCCCTATTGGTGGCTGCTCTGTCCAGCACAGAACCCCCAAGGCTGGAAAACACCCCCAGGATCACCAAGCTGCCCCTTCTGCTGACCATCACCCAATGAATTAATCCAGAGCTTTAATTCTGAAGGGGATTTTCTATTTTT